TTAATAAAAAGATAATTAATATAAAATTAAGTTTTTTTGCTCTTGTGAAACTTCATAAAATTTGAATGTCACTATTTGCCTCCTATCCCTCAAAAGTTAAACTTATGGAGTGATAATAACAAAAAATATTGTATGTCATTTGGCCACTAAGTGGTGATTTTGACAACGACGGTTTTACGATATTCGCTTTAAAGTTTGTGACGCGAATTTACGAAAACGACCGTAAATTTCCGTCCTCGGCTTCACCTCGGACGTTAAAATTGCGCCCGTTTCCGTTCATTCCCGCCACGAACCTTAAGCTCATATCGCAACATCGTCGTTGTCAGAAAATCGCCACTTTGCGGCCATATGACATAAATTACTATTAATTATGTTTTATAGATTTTTTTTTTTCATATTTGTAACTGCAATTTTCTCGATTTTTTTGGTTTTTTGAGATTTTTAAAAATTTTAAAACGTTAACGGAGCGAGAAAACTTCAGATTCAAATTCAGCGGAAAAAAATACATGAAAATCATACTCAATCTGAGTCCAAAAAAATTTTTATTTCGAAAACTTTAGTTTTTCATGATTTATTGCAATTTTTTTAGGTTTTTCGTTTTTTTTTTTTTTCAAATTTGGACGGTTCATGGGGCTAATTTACTTTTAGATTTGAATTCAGCACATTGAAATACATCAAAATCATACGTGATCCGCGTCCACAAAAATTTTTTTATTGCTGTAATTGCAGTTTTTTGCAGTTAACGAAGTAGCCACTTTACGCCTCCGTCGAGGAAAAAAATAGTATACACTCCTCGGGAAGTAAATAAGAAAGCCTCAGATCACATGTAATTGTTGGCCGAGGCGAAGCCGACATTTCTTACTTTACTTCCCTAGGGGTGTAATGTACTATTTTGTCGCAAAGCAGACATTTTATAATTTTTCAGCCACACAGCAGACTGTTTATAGTTTATTTTTTCCTGCAAAACAGACATTTAATAATTTTTCAGACGAACAGCAGACTGTAAATTTATTTATTTTGAATCGCACAGCACTCTTAATTTTGTTTTGTCTCAAAGCAGACATTTAATAATTTTTCGGCCGTACAGCAGACTGTGGATTGATTTATTGTATATCGCACAGCAGACTCTCAATTTTTTTTGTCCCAAAGCAGACTATTAAAGTTTTTACTGCTTAGTCGCACAGCAGACATTTAATTTTTATTTTGTCGCAAATTTGAAATTTAATTATTTTTCACCTGAACAGCAGACTATAGATTTACTTATTTTGAAACGCACAGCAGACTCTTAATTTTTTTTTTGTCGCAAAGCGGGCATTTAATAATTTTTCAGCCGTACAGCAGACTGTAGAATTGTTTATTTTGAATCGCACAGCAGACTCTTAAATTTTTTTCTGTCGCAAAGCCGACATTCAATAATTTATTTTGAATCGCACAGCAGACTATTATTTTTTTTTTTTGTCGCAAAGCAGACATTTAATAATTTTTCAGCAGCATAGCAGACTCTTAATTTTTTTTTTTTGTTGCAAATCAGATATTCAATAATTTTTCAGCCGCACAGCAGACTGTAGATTTATCTATTCTGAATCGCACAGCAGACTCTCAATTTTTTTTTTTGTCGCAAAGCAGGCATTTAATAATTTTTCAGCCGCACAGCAGACAGTAGAATTGCCTATTTTGAATCGCACAGCAGAATATTAATTTTTTTGTCGCAAAGCAGACATTTAATAATTTTTCAGCCGCACAGCAGACTGTAAATTTATTTAATTTTAGTCGCGCAGCAGCCTTCTAAATTTTTTTTTGTCACAAAATAGACATTTAATAGTTTATCAGCCTCACAGCAGATTCTTATTGTATTAATTATTAGTTTCTCAGCAGACTTGTCAATTTTCGTTTGTCGCAAAGCAGACATTGAATAGTTCATCAGCCGCACAGTAGACTGTTAATATCTTTTTTTTTGCAAAGTAGACATTCAATAATTTATTATTTTCTCTGCAGTTTATGAATTTATTTATGTCTTGGTCACACAGCAGACTTTTTATATTTATTCAGCTGCACAGCAGACTGTTAATTTTTTTATTGCTCAGTCGCATAGCAGACTTGTCAATTTTTATTATTTCTAGTCGTAAAGCAGAGTTTTAATAGTTTATTAGCCGCACAGAAGATTAAGTATTTTTATTTTCTAGTCTTAAAACTGACTTAATAGTTCTTTAGCTGCACAGCATACTGTAAATATCTTTATTTTTTTGTCGTACCTCAGACTGCTAAAATATTCATCTGTTAGCCGCACAGCAGACTTTTAATCTATCTATTTCTTAGTTGCAAAGCAGACTTTTTATAGTTTATCAGCCGCACTGCAGACAGTTTATGTATTCATTTCTTTCTTTCTCAAACAGCAGACTTCTAATATCTTTTCTACAGTAGAAATTTTTTTACAATAGAATAAAAAAAAATCCTAAATTACATACAAGAAATAACTGTATATTCACAGTCATATTGCTATTCAGTACAAATATATAAATATATATACTTACGTATATACATGTATATTTCTGTCTTCAGATATATGTAATGTTATTTTCTAATTAAACATTAATAAATATAAAAATATACAGAAATATAAATATAAACGTATATTCAGACATGTATACATTCGTCTATTGAAGATATTAAAGTTGTAAATTATTACAATCAATCAATATCTTGTTAATAATAAATAAACTTTAAAAAAAAAAATAATTTACTAATTTTATTCATTATGTGAATAGTTAGGTTATGTTAAATTTATTGCAACGTCACCAATCCACAGACCCGGTAAAGTTTGGCGCCAAGTCCCGTTTTTGATGTATACTAATCTTTTATGTATACTAAGTACATTTGTTAATTCGTCGGCAATGGATGCATTCGGTTCACCTAAGTTGTAACTGTGAGTTAGTACACATGCGTACACTTACAACTTTAATAACTTACTAAATTAAGTACAAAATTAGAAATTTTTGTTGGTCGAACACGCCCATTTACTAATGTCACACCTAAGCGTCACTACTGATCAGGCTGATCAGGGGTGGGCACGTAAAATACTATACGTATAATACTGTTATGCTTTCATCTAGTGGATGTTATTTTTATTTATTTAAAACTTTACTTACTGTAGTTCTTTCGCCCGGGAGTATTAAAATACTCGGTTTCAGTGCGGGAAAGGAATAATTTTAAATAAAAGAATTCTATTTAGACGTAATTTAATTTTGATCAAAATTATTTAGTTGGTTTCAATTTATTATTCGAGTTGACAAAATATTAAAAGCTTCAAAATATAAAATTGAGGTTTACAATGACGTGATCTTAGCAATCTAATCTCTCGATGAGAAGTGTCGTTACATAGTTTTTCCGAAGATCTTCAAACTCCGTTCTTCTCCCACCATAACTTCCACACATACATCCACTCTAAGGAATATATAAATACATACATTTTCTACTACATATAAATGATCCTTATACACTAACATGTATTTTCTCTATATCTATATATATTTACTTCAGCCTATCGACCTGAAAGTTGGACTTCACTTATATATACTTTTAGCAATACAGTCATTATGTTTATCCAACCATTCTTACTAATTTAACAAACCCTTTTTAAAATCTATTAAATTACAATAAAATTATAGTAAATTATAACATGAAAGTATAAATATTATATTATTTATAATATGTTGGACTAACGTTTGAGTTTGAATAATTAATAATTCGAATTAAATATTATTTCTATCATTTTACAATCGAGTTTTCTAATAAAATTATAAGTCATTTTAATTATTATCCTGTATAAAAGAATAGATATTATTATTTAATTATAAATTAAATAATAATTAGATAATGATTTAATAATAAATTAATAGTAAATTAGTTAACTAATAATTATTAGTTATAAATTAAATATAAGATACTAATTATTAATTATTTTAACTCAATTTTGCTTAACTACAATATTATATAAAGTTAGATTTTAACAGTAAATGTTATTTAACAATATTACTTTTGTTTAGTTACATATGTTTTTTTATTATTCTTTGTTACTTTAGAACAAGGATCTATTGAATTTCACACGTGTCTTTTACGACTTCTCCTCATAGGGTTTTAAGTTTCATCAGGCGAGAAAGTCCTTGAATTACTCAAGTACTTTTTATGGGTTTTGAAAATTCGGTTACAATGTACCTTTGTACCGAAATATGTTTTTTTTTATTCTATTTTATTTTACAATACATAGTTTTATACATGTATAATACTTGGTAGATTACCTTCTGAGTTTTCTACATGACTGATAATTACACTTTAAACACCGAGCAACATTTTTATTTTCCAATTTTTCAATTAAAAAATAATTTTCTTTCAAAAATGTTTGATACTTTTTTTTCTAAATAAACTCATTTTATAATAAACTAAAATATCCAACTTATTCGCCAGTAAAGACTGACAAAAATGGTTAAAATTCAAAAATTGTGGAGATTTTAATAATGACCGCTAGGGGGCACAAAAATCGACGTATAATACCGTAATTAAAGTATTTTACGTAGTTTACGTAAAATACGTAAGAAACTGCCGGTTGGGTAGACCTCTATTGCCCAGAAGAGAATTGCGAACTGCCGGTTACGCGTAACCGATTACTCATCCCTGCTACTGATGAAGTGGGCAGTAATTTTGACTACATCATTTTATGCACTATTTATTTGTTTTCTTCCAGATGTTTTATTAAGTCTTAAATAAATTTTGGGTTTAAATAAAATAAAATTCTCGAAAAAGAACACACGACCAACTATTTCGAGAATTTCCAACAATTAATTTAATTATATTTTTAGGAAGTAATCACAAAAATAAAATTGTAAATATTGTTATAATTGTTAAAATATGTAAAAGATAACGAATTCAAATATTCTGCCTAAAGAACATCGGAAGTGGCTCCACGGAGCGTAAAAACAGGAAAGTAAAATGTCCAAAAAAAGAAAATGGTAGATAGTTAAAATTCCCTAGGAATACTATTCAATCCTCGCGAAATAAATTAATTAATTATTATGTGCAAATTGTAAACAAAAGAGAGAATCGTCTCAAATTCAGATTTATATATATATATATATACATAGATTTATATAGATTACGTCAACGAACGCAACTAAATATTTTCTTTATTACACTCTATTGTGAATATTGAACTACTTTTTAAAAATGGCCAATGTGAGAATCCTGAGTAATGTAGGCAGCAATTTGTTTGGTAAGCATTACGTTTTTAATCAAGTCTATTAATTATAAATGTACATTCTATGTTGAAAATTGTGATATATTTTACCCTTTTTATTGTATTCAAATTTTATTAAATTTATTACGGTTACACAAATTGAAACAAAATTTTTAAATTATCATTAAAAATAATTAACCTGGTTTTATTGTTATCATTTTCTAGCACAAATAACAAAATTATCACCGCTGAGAGCTATATCTGTCCAACCATCCCGAAGTAAATATTTTATTATTACACCCAAAGATGATCCTCACTGGCCCGATGCTCTACCCGATGAAGGAACAACAGTTTATGCCCGAGAGTTGGCCAATGGAATGATGACATCATTGTCGTGTTTTTTTAAAGAACCTGTCACAATAAATTATCCATTTGAAAAAGGTCCCTTAAGCCCTAGGTTCCGTGGAGAACACGCACTTAGAAGGTAATTACTAAGTTGGCTGAATAATTTTTGACGTTATTTTTATATTTTTATTGGATTGAATTAGATACCCATCGGGAGAGGAGCGATGTATCGCATGTAAGCTCTGTGAAGCAATTTGCCCTGCTCAAGCAATAACAATCGAAGCAGAAGAAAGATCAGATGGATCCAGAAGAACAACTCGATATGACATTGATATGACCAAGTGTATTTATTGCGGATTTTGCCAAGAAGCTTGTCCTGTGGATGCTATTGTTGAAGTAACCATTGTTACACACATCTTAAACTTATAGCAAATTATAATAATTTTAATAAATTTTTTGTATTTTAGGGCCCCAATTTTGAATTTTCAACTGAGACCCATGAAGAGTTATTGTACAATAAGGAGAAACTTTTGAATAATGGTGATAGATGGGAAAGTGAAATTGCAAGCAATATTCAAGCTGACCATCTATACCGATAAACATGTTATTTATTTAGTCTTGATTAACCTGTTTCAATGAATAAAAACTATTTAGTATTATAATTCATTATCATCGTCGAAAACAGGTAAAGATGTATATAAAGTTAATAAAAATATCTAATCGACAATTTTTAGTTTTTACATGTTATACCTAGACGTACTTCTGCATAGACATGGATTAAAATTTTTATCATAGAATTAAATACAATTAACGGCAAATATAGCTTGATGTTTAGAACAAAAAATGCTTTTTTTTAGAGATACAATCAATCTCTTTGCAATAATATATCGTCGATGATTTTGCGATACAATTAAATTTTTAAAAACACAAAATAACTATAATAAAAGCTAAAAAGATTTCGTTTTTTTTTTTTTAGATTGGATTATTTTTTTTCCAAATTTTATTATTTTTTTATCAAAAATGGTTAAGTTACACTATATTTTAATTTTTTTAACTATTGGATAAATAACTATTGAAAATAAAAATAAAAAATAATTTACTCAATTTGTGTCCTAAAAACGTTACTTCGTTAACAAAAATATAATTATTTTTAAAAAAACATTTTATTACATTCTTTCACTGCCGTATCCTGGGAATAAGTTCTCAAGAGTAACTGCAAGCTGTTCATTTATTTTTTCTAATCGAGTTTTTTTAATAGAATGTCGGCAAACCGGGCATGTGAATACATCAGCTTTGAAACTTCTACAAATGCAATTCTGACAAATATTATGAAGGCATTTAGTTGTGATCGGTTTCCAAACTATTTCTTGACAGCAAACACACGTAAATCTATGAGTAATAAAACCATATTAAAGTACAATAAGGTAATATTTCTTTTAAACGTAACTTGAACCCACCGGTAAATGATTAAAGTACACTATTTCATCATGATTTTTCACAAGAGTAGTTATACAGATGGGTTCAAGCTATCTCATTACTGTTTTGACATTATTTTTATTAATAGTAAGTATATAATAATAGTGTAAAAAATTACCTATCAATGACATTATTAATAAACCTCATTTTTCCTTCGGAAAGTAATGAACAGCAATCCTTCCAAACTTTCTTATTTAGCTTATCACTATCTATTAACTTGACTATATTCTCTTCTAATTCATAATGAATCACTTTAGGTTTTTTTGAGCAGCTTTCATTTTTATCTTTTCCCAGTTTGTCTCGTTTACGTTTTAAATTTTTTTTCTGATCATTAATTTCCATGTTTTTTACTGTTAATACATTACTCGGCAAATCATATTCAATCATTCGTAAGCCTAAGTTTTTAATTCTTTTTTTTCCTTCAGAAGTCCAAGGTGAGGGATTAGGGTCATCCCGGCGTAAAAGATATCGCCAAACTAAAAAACCCCTTTTACCTTTTTCCGGAAAATACTTGACAACTTTATAAATACCATCATATCTATCAGAGAAACAAAAAATAATTATTAGAAATAAAATTCAATAAATAGATACACAGCGATTTAGGAAGTTGAATAGAAAAATTATACTTTTTCAAATCAATAATTTCTTAAATAAATCAGACCAACTAACCGAAAACCTTCTTCAGGTGCATAAATTTTAGCTTGGTGATATTTTTTTAATTTTGCAGATCTTATGACTCGAACCGGAATTCCTTCTTGCCAATTTATTGCAGTCGCACCTTCTACATTATTAAACTGAGCATTGCAATTTAAAGCTAGTGCTTTGTTCATTTTTGTTAGTTTCTGATCACTACTTTGTGCTGCTGTTCTTTTGTTACCTAAAATTATTACTCTGTAATTTTATTTGTATATATTAAAACAAAAATTTATTTCAAGAATAAATTACCTGATAAGTCTCTACCACCGGATCCAGTATATAAAAATTCGTCTCCATTGTCAACGTCGTCTTCATATCCACCTGATAAAACCAACGAATAAGCACATTCATTTTCTCTACCATGAATCCCTGCTACGTGCGGTCGATGGACGCCAGCTTCTGATACCTATTCATATGCTCATTATTCACTACTTTTTTCTCAACTTCATAATCAAGGCCAGTAATAATTTTTAAATAAAAAATTTACTTTGATTCTAGGCAATAAAAATACAAAAATTACTTGTAAACGATATCTCCAACTCATTCCTACTTCAGTTCCTGGGATTGGGCCTTTATGATTCGTAGGTACTATAGTACAATCTTTAACTCTACTCATACATCCCATTCCGCGACCCCAATCTTTTTGACCCTTTTTTAAGTCTGGCTTAATCTTTCTTTTACTCGGTCTCAGCTTTTCTCCAGCCTAAAATAAAAAAAATTTAATTAATATTTGATAGTTTCTATATGAAGTACTTACTTTGATCACCAAATCATCATGAATTTTACATTCTGGACAATACCAATCGTCCTCCGGAACTTGTTCCAAAGGTGGATTCAAACATGATATATGATAAGCTTTATCACATTCATCACATAATATTATTTCATGACTTTTTTCTTTTCCTGAACAAACAAAACATCCACATTCTTTACATTTTACATTCTTATCATCTTCACAAACGTTGCAAGTTATTACTATCGTTCTTGGCTTATCATCAACTTCATTAAAATTTGAGTTATTTTCAAAATCACTGTAATGTAGAGCAGGTTTTTCTATTTTATAAATTTTGCTTCTTGAATTTACTTTACAATTTTCAATTTTTAATTCAGCTCCATCACTATGAACAATCAATATCAATAATTTAAAAAAAATTTAATGATTTATTTATCAGTTTATCTATTTAAATTATAAAATTTTTCACCTGCCAGTGTGTAGAACTCCTGCTAAATTAATACTTTGGTTATTTTTTTTAATATTTTTAACAGTAAAATCATACCAATATCCGATTTTATTAGGTTCATCTATGTTGTAATTGACCATAACTTTATCATTAATTTTTATTTGATCAATACTTAAACAATGTCTCGCCCGTGGTCTAATCATATTTTCTGTTACATCAAAAGGCTCAGTGTCCACCAAAAATGTCCATTGAACCCGATAAATTAAACACTGCTTGTTAACGTCGTTATAAATATTTTGAATAATCGCTTCATACCAAGCTCCATTTTCTTCGTTAATACAGTCGATCGGATCACCTGTTCGATAATAACGACTTGTTGATTCCGATTGCTTATCAATCGTAGTTGAGTCTTCTTTTGGAGAAACGAGTGCTAAGCCATTTATTTTATCATTTTGTGTAAAATTAGTCAAGCACTTATTTTCTACAGTGCTAGATTTAGGCTTTATTAACAATTGAACAACCTCATGATGGTTTAAATGATAGTCATATACTCGATAACAATCTTCTAATTGTTTACCTCGATAAAATAAATGAATATGTGACAATTTAACAGAAAAAACAGCTGCTATTCGAACCTGGAAAATAAATTAAAAGAAATTTAAGAGTTAATAATTTCAAATCTTATCTAATTATTTTCATTTTAAATACCTTAAGATCACTAATACTGATAGTCTTCGATATTTCTAAGGTTTTTTCTAATTTTCCATCGATTGTTCGAATTATTATGAACATTTTGAGATTTAAATCGCTAAAAAATGTGCACTTATGTTTATTAAAAAGTATGTTATTGTGAATTCAAACTGTTGTTACTGGTTTTCAAACTAAGTTTGTATTCATTCTTCAAAAACTAATGAATAGGTCACGTTTTAATGAATGTAAAACTAAACAAAATTCGTTTTCAAGTGGCGTAGTGGCGTATTGTTGAATATAAATTCACAAGTTTAGCGCTTCCCTGACCCTGGCGACTGAAAAATCGTTTTCAGTATTTTTTTATAAACAAATCGTTTGTTCGTCGTTTGTTCTTATTTGTTCGTCATAAATTATTATTTGTTCGATTATTGTTTATTTATAAAAAATTAAATAAATTTACTCTTGTAAGTTAGCGCAGCATTAATCAAATCTAAGTTTTTTTTTTTTTAATCGATAGCTTTTTTTTTTTTATTATTTGTTCGATTAATTAAATTATTTGTTCGATCGTATTTATATTTTTATTTAATTTTTTTTATAAATAATTCAGATCTTAAATTATAAGCGCGCATGCGCCGGTTGGTTGAGTTAGTTGAGTTACATGGTTACTCATAAAATCTAATGTATTTATTGCATTGTTCATGAGTTTAGCCGTACTTGATTTTTTTTTTTTAATTCTTTAACTTTTTTTATTTTTAATTATTAGTTCTTCATTAGTTCTTTATTGTTTGAACATTTAAATTGTTTGTTCGTCTTTTATCTACTTATAATTAATTAAACAAATTTTGATCGTTACAAAGGAAAGCAAAAAAAATTTTTTTCATGAGTAATGGTTAAATAACCACACGTTAACCGGTTACTAAACTCAAGTTCTGCCATTTTGAATATGCCTGTAAAAAGAGCGCGCTGTCCCTTACGATTGTTACAAAAGCCGTTCTAATTCAAATAAATTTATAAATAAACTTTAGCCGAAGAATAACGAGAATTCCCGATTAACTCTCTAATATTTTTTATTTTATGAATTTCAAAATTTATGGAGGTAATTTTATTTTTACAATTGGATTAATTGATTTTCTTTAAATGAAGCAGAGTAATTGAGTGTAATTTTGGATTTCGTGTATCTATATAAAAACACTAATTAGCTTCTGTGCTGATAAATTGTTAGAAAAAAAAATACTAATTTTTATGAAGTTGCTTCTAATTTATCAAAAATTTAACGGTATGAAAATTTGTGATAAATTTCTTATTTTATAATTTTTAGTAAAATCCTATAATGTTATATTGAATGCCAATAAAAAAATTCTATTTTTTTTTCTTCCAGAATTATCAGAATTATATAAGTATACAGCTGCATACGTAGAAATGGTGAAAATAAATACTTGATATTTTTTTTACCGACCACGAAACATTAAATTAATATTTTATATTGCGCCACCTAAAGTAATCTACAACGAGTTCTGATCCTGATAAGCTGCTCACGAAAAATTAAAAAAATAAAAATAGTATATCGAAATATACTCTATTAATAGCACAATAGTATTAATAATTAATATCAACGACTGAATATTTGAAACTACGAAGATTTTTTTTACAACATTTCATTCATACCGTGTTTGTAGTAAGATATATTTTATATTTATAATTTTTATTATAAAAATTCTTTTAAATCTAGAATTAAAAATTTATTTTAGTTCTTAATAAATTAATCAATAGTTATTTTTTATATTGTCTTAAAAAACTTAGAAAAATATCAGTGAATTTTTTTGGAATTGTTCCAATAATTTAAGTTTGAAACTTATTCCAGAATATCGAAAAAAAATTCTAAATTTCGTTGAAACGGCTCAACTTTTAGGTTTATAATATATAATATACTCACTCTTTTTGTATATTAAATTTTTATTTTAAGCAATATTTTAATTTTAATAATTAATTAGGTAATGATAACTCAAGGCTAAAGTTTTTCGGTTACCATGTTAAAGCTTATATGATGTATCCTTGAATCCGCTCTTTTTCTAATATGTTAATAAAAAAAGTAATAGTATTAATAAAAACCGATGAACGACATTTATCAATTGATATATTATGAGTTGTCAATAGGCAATAATATTTTCTAAGATTTTAAAGTAACAATATAAAACAATCGTAATTTTCGAAAAAATTTATAATACTTTATCTAATCTTATTTTATCAATGAAAAATGATTTTAGCAAAATCGCTGAGAAAACATTATGTTTCATTACGGAAAATTACAACGACTTAGTCATTTCATGCAATATAAATCATCTTTAATAACAATCAATAGTAACATCAATCAAGTTTTCAATTTATCTAAGAATTTTTCAACTACCGGAGCTCAAAAAATGAGGTATGAATCGCTATTGGGTAAATAGACGTAATAACTATTGTTCTAATTTCATAAAAATTTCACAGGTTTGTACAATTTACGAATAAAAAAGGCGGGCCACAACATCTTGGCGTACAGCTGAAAGCCGGAGGAGACATCATAGCTATTTCGTCAATAGATTCCAGAATACCTAATACTTTAAAAAAGTTTTTAGAAGGTGGAGAAACTATTAGCAACAAAGCGAAGCGGTATGTATAAACTAATGGAACTAGTTTGACGAAAAGTTTATTCAGGGATTATTTCTTTAATTTTGAATATTATAATTTAAACTGTAAATTTTTTTTGCAGAATAATTGTTGAAAGCCGTAGTGTTATTCCGGAAGCTGAAGTGAATTTATTAGCGCCTATAAATCGAATGGACAAATTAGCTTGTGTTGGTCTTAATTACAGTGGACATTGTTCAGAACAAGGTCTTGAACCACCAACGAGCCCAGTGATATTCAATAAATTTCCTAGCAATATTATAGGACCAACAGATGATATTTTATTACCTTCAAACTCCGATGTAAGTATAATATAACAAAGAAATTTATAAATATAAATTGTTTAATAAAATTAATTTATCAGAAAGTTGACTGGGAAGCTGAGTTAGCGATAGTTATTGGTAAAAGTGGTAAAGCGCTGAGCAAAGAAGATGCCGAAAATTGTATTTTTGGATACACAGTAGCTCAAGATCTTAGTGCTCGTGATTGGCAGAAAGGTAAACGAAACGGTGGACAATTTCTTCTTGGCAAAGCTATGGACACTTTTTGTCCTCTTGGACCTGCTGTAGTTACTAAAGAATCGATAGGTGACATTAACAATTTATCGGTTCAAACTTGGGTTAATGGAAAGCTTAAACAAGACGGGAACACAAGCGAACTTATTTTTAAGCCTCGTGATATTGTAGCATTTATCTCTCAGTATGTACTGAAATATCAACTTATATTTTAATCTTGAAATGAAAAGAACAGTTTTGTAATAATGCTAAATATTTTAGGTTCATGACTCTACTGCCTGGAGATGTTATCTTAACAGGCACTCCTGCAGGAGTAGGATTTACACGTAACCCACCGGAGTTTCTCAAGGTAATTTAATTATTTTTAAATATTTATTAAAATTCCTATTTTTTTTTTTTTTTTCAAGTACAGAAAGATTTTAAATAATGGATCACCTACATTTTAAATATATCATAAGATTTAATGTTAACAGGCTTATCTAACACTTTACATATATTTGAATTTTTTTTACAGAAAGGAGATATCTTGGAAACTGAAATTCATTCTCTCGGCCGTTTGAAAAATAATGTTAAGTAGAAAATAGTTTCATAGTAATTATGAATATAAAAGAAAATTTTTCTGTAAGATTAATTTACTAAACGGATAAACATTTTTTACGGTATTATATGGTTTTGCGGATAAAAGGAATACTTATTGATCTACTTAGATTTTTTGTATAATATTATGTTGTTATAAAATATAATTTTTAATACAATATAATTTATTTTTTTTCATTATCCTGCACAAAAACTAAAAAAATATTTAATTAGTAAAACAGTTATATTTAATGAGTTTATTATTATAATAGGATTTCTCATGAAACATCAATTCTCTGCTAATATCATTTGAATTTATTAAGTTACTTGTGGCAACAAATAAATCAATAAAATGAATTACTTAAGACGAACGAAGAATCTCACGTTATGAAAATGTGGCATTTATTTGAAGTAATATGAATTTTTTGATTAAATTAAAAGAAACCTCAGATTCCATGAAAAACTATGCTATCACAGTACAAAGAAGCCATTCGATACATACATAAGTATATAAATAAATACTACATGACTCTTCATCATTAGTAGGAAGGGAAATTTCAATTTAATTAAAATTTTGTTGTAAATTAAATTACAAAAATGTGAATTCTCAATTATAATAGTTAGAAATATTAAAATCATAAACACAAAATATTCTAAAAGTGAATAAAATATTCTAAAAAAAAAATAAAATATATTTTTGAACAATAATGCTACAATATAAATAAAAAGAAATTATTTATAGAATAGATGTTATTATTGTAGAGTAAAATTTTAAGATTTTTAAATTTTTAATTAACTGTGTCTTCAACAATTATATTCAAATATACATTACTAATTTTTAAATTATACAAATATCTATTTTTTTTCTTGGCTGAATAGAAAATTCATATCATATCGATGTCTGCGCTCATTATTGATAGAACAGTGAAGCACAGATTGATAAATATTTCGTTCATTAATTAATGATTAACCTGTAATCAAAATATTAAAATTTTTATTAAATTTTTCATTATATTTTCAGAGCTATAAAATGTTACATTGACTTTATTTTTAATATATGAAAACCAAAATATAGTATTGATTAAAAATTCAATCAGTATATTTCATTTTAGATAATTTATACATTAAAAATATTCAAAATAGAGAATTTTATAATTTTAGTCATTTTAAGTAAATTAACAAACCTTCTTTGGCTGTTCGCTACCAAGAAATAAAAGTCCTATAGCTCCAGTATAAGCAATTAAAGTGTCGACTGCTTGTTGTGTTTCTAATAAAATTCTTGTTTCATTCATCCAATCTTTAGCTACGCTTCTTGGCGCTCCACTCAATAAATTCATATACTTAAGACTCATTTTTAAATCTCCTCGATCGAGCCAATATCTATAAAATTAAAAATGACATGTAATATATATAAAATAGAATGTTTGGAAACTACAACAACAATAACAATATTTTACCTTGCACGGTTCAAAATATCGTATGTATCGAGTTTATTGACATCAATTGGTTCATCAGATAGCTCACTCTTTGTTATAGGAGTTTCAGCCTTAACGAGTAAAAAGTTTTGGAGATAACTCAAGAAGTAAATTGGTAAAGATGCACCTTCTTCGGGAACAAGAGCGAGTCGTCTTGCCATGTGTTCAACCTAAAATTAAAATATTTTTTAGACTACTTTGTTTTCAGATATAAATAAAAATTAATTTTTATTTATATTTATTATAAATAAATTAATTTTTCAACTTACCTTTAAAAATCGTTCTCTTAGAACATTTTCTGTAAAAACACCTCGTTTTACAGCTTCTTGAGGTATGGCAGCAAGAGTTGCTTGGACCAGAGTATCTTCTTTTGCTAAAAAAATATATATCTATTTTAGACGTACTTATTAACCTTTGATATACACTGAGAAAAAAAATTTTTTTTGAAAAAAATAGGCGTTGTTATCAGGAAAATTAATTTGTTGAAAACTTTCAATAATTTTACTTCTTAGCTGAAGAAATCCAAATTTTTCTAGATTTAGGTAAAAAAAAATTTTAAATAAAGATTCACAGGTTGTCTATTTGAAATTGTTTTTTTTTTTTTCCAAATCAAAGAAACTTTTTTTTCAACAAGAAAGTTACTATGAGAAAAATTTTGATTTATTTAGCTAAGGAATAAAATTGTTGAAAATTTTCAACATATTAATTTCTTATTACAATATTGCTTATTTTTTTAAAAAGAAATTTTTTCTCTTAGTGTATCCTATGTCATTGCAAATTAATAAGAGAAAAAAAAAAACTTACGAGCAACTTTTGAAACGGCTTTTATTTCTAACTCCAGTGGTTTTAGTGGTTGATCATCTAAAATACTGTGTGGTGTAGCTTTTACTGCTCTTGCTAATGCTTGACAAGCAGCCCAAAGTACTTGTACTTCACATGCTCCTTTTTCTTCCGATAAACGTACTAGAAATAAGAATTTAATATTTAGTTATTATCCGTTTTAAAAACGCATGTTATAATAATGTAACTAAAAGATTGCTATATAAGGCAGTACTTACATTTAAGGGCTTCATCTAATCCACGCAAACGCCCAACAACTACTCCGAGTTGTGCTTTATAATTGTTTGATTCATTTTCTAATTGTTCCTCAAGAGTTTGGTTTACTAACCGTTCAGTTTCTCTCTCTTTTAATTCAAGAGTTTCCTTCAGTAGATCTGCATTAATCTGAGCTTGGAGTTTCAATTGCTTACGAAGTTCTTCCATAAAAATTTTTCTTTCTTCCAAAAGCTATAAAAAATACTGATATTAATAAAAAATTTTTAGAACACTAAATCTGGCTCATGTGATTTTTAAAAATTTACAAAGTTTAAAAAAAAGTTTAATTTGTACATTTCAATAATTTGAATGATATTATGAATTAAACTTGACTATAAAACTATAAAATATTACCTTTTTATCAAACTCTTCTTGAAGAAGTCGCTTTTCTTTGTTTAATTCTCTACTAACAATTTCATTTATTTTGCTATCATCGGCACTTGCCCCGGAGGAATTCAATGCAGCTTTCAGTTTTTCATTCCCAATGGTCTAAGCAAAGAAAAAATGAATTAATAAATAAAAAATGTAATAAAAAATTGACATGAACGAAAGGTAGTTTCAAATTTTACGAACTTCAAGTTTATCTAACTCTGATTTCAAATAGTTGACTTTGTTATACATATAAAGTACAAAGAGATCGAATGCTTTGTCACTACTAGGCAACAGTCCATCGTTTACATTCATATCAGGGAATAATATTTTAAGTTCTTCATGAAAATGTTGCCTGGCAATATTCATTTTATCCATGAATTTTTCAGCAATCTTCACATTGGATTTTTCGTCTTCATATTTTTTTTTAGCTTTATGAAGATCAGTCAAAAGTTTATCAACGAAGTTACGAGCTTCTGATTTTATTGTATCCGGTATATCGAATTTCGAATTCATGGAACTCAAATATTGTTTTATTTCTTGTTCAGCATCGGAGGTGAATTTATCAACTTGTTGGATAATTTTTTTCCGCTTCTCTAAATCTTCTTTCAATCTATAAGCCAGTTCAATAAAAATTTTACTTCAGAAGATTGGTTTATTATATCAATTTAAAAAAATGTGCTTTTAATGAAAATACCTTTTCCAAACTGACGATGAATGTACAGTTGAAACATTAGCTTCAACGACTTCCGCAATTCCTCGATTGTAATTGTTGACAACTTGTATAGCATTGTCATATTCACTTATTACTTTTGTAGCTAATTGACTGCATGATCTCTTTAAATCATCTAGGCTCGTAGCTTTCACTTGATTCAAATCTTTTGAAGATGGACGAGGAAGATTATTTTCTGAATCAAATGAAAAATGGAATATTTAATTGATGTATTCACAAAAATTTAAATCAATACTATTTTTTAATAATTACTGGTACTCATAAAATCTATTAACGACTTAGTGAATGAATTAAAATAAATAATCGTTAATCAACAATTAGCAGTTTTAATAAATTTCTACATCTTTCTTCTTTATTATTGAACTTAAGAACATAAAATAAGTATATAAGTTACCTACCAGCTTCTATTTCATCTTTTTTTGTTTTTTTCGGTTTATTATCAGTGTTGACTGAAATCTCGGATTTTTGCTTCTTTTCAATTGGCGCCTCAATGATTGCTTTTGAAGCTAAGAATGTTAGTTATGATTAAGTTAAAAAATTAATAATGTTAGAGTTATTATTTCTATAAAAATGCAGTTAAATAAATAAACAGACATCAATTACAGACCATTTAAATACAAAACAAAACACTTATTGAAAGTACTTTTTTTTCCATTTAATAAAGTTATTTAATGTGATTAAATGAATCATTTGTTGCAAAGAACAGTACTAAATTTTACTTGAAAATTTTTGCCAATTATTCGAAGAAATTTAAAATTTACTCATCAATAAAAATCGAATTCACTAAGAAATGCTATTAAAAAAAAAAAAAAATGTAATAAATATTGTAAATTAATAAAAAAAATAATACACTTTGCTTTAACTTAACTAAATAAAATAATATTTAAACGAGTAAAATTATTTCTACTCAATGAAATACCAATTTTTCAAAAATCATTATTACATTATTTACACACTGTTTAAAACAGTAATAAAAATTGCGTTAATACGACAAAAGTGAGTTAAAAATTTATTAAAAATTGTAAATAAAATTCATTTATAATAAAAAAAAGTTTTTTTAATTGTTTCCTAACCTTTTTTTTCTTCTTTCGGTTTCGTAATTTCAGATTCTTTTGCAGTATCGAAAATTCCAAACGGGACACTATATGAAAACATTCGTTAAAAAAATTCAAGTTAAAAGAATAGAAAAACTATAAACTCATACCTTTGCTTGAAGTTGTTGAAAAAATCACGAATGTAAGCTATAAAAGAATTTTCTTCTAAAAATATCAATTTTATTGTTTCATCAGCTCCAGGAATCCACTTATCAAGAGTGTCTCTAAATTGTCTATTATTCTTTGCATATCCTAATACAGCGATTGTTCCTAATGTAAGTGAACCGACAGCCAAGAGACCAATTCGACTCTTACTTTTTTTATTGCTGTAATATTTAATAGTAAATTTTACAATTAATTAATTGTTACTTTAACAAATCTAAAAAAGAAAAAAACTACTAGTACCTTTGGTGGCCATCTGATGAATGTCTTACTAATAAACGATGCGACAATCTAAAATTTTAATTGCAATATTAGTTAATCAAATCTTGACATAATGAATATCAATAATTATATATTTTTAATACCTGTTTTCAACATTACTGGGATTTTGCAAAGCTTTGCTCCGAACCGCTGAATACAACCTTGAATTATCAAATTTCTCAACCTATAAGTAATAATTTTTATTTAAAATTATGACAGATATGTTAAAATTAAATTTTATATTAGTTAAATTTAATTATATAGAATTATATATAAAATTTAATATATAGCAATGTTCAATTTAGAAAGGTTAAGTTTTGAATTTAAATATGTACCTCATGGATAATCTTACATTATAATTTTTAAAAGTATGTATGTTGAATAAATGTTCTTTTAAAAATAATATCAGATATATTAAAATATAATAATATATAAATACAATGCAGATTGTAAAAAAATTCGTAAATTCATAAATGTTATGTAAATATTGAATTATAACATAATACTCCAATAAAATAATACTTACTTTATAAATTTGACAAAATGAATTTTTCGAAACATTAAAGCCGACACGATACATTTTATTTTAATCCGGAATCAAAATTTATAAAAAATTTATGTTTTTCTAATGTAAAAATTTTTTAAGCAATAATTACAGAAATGCAAAATATTGAACTATTATTTAAGACAGTTTTTAAAAATGATTCCCATTTTTTATGCGTTTTCTTGCGCTTCGCTGCTTGCCCTTTCTTTGAAAACTAAAAACAGCTGATGAACTGGATTTTTTTTTCTTTTATTTTCAAATCGTTGAAAGCAGCAGTGTTGAGTATCGCTAATGAACTGTTGTACAGCTCTGCATCCCTGTATTCCTGTATTCAGGTATATAGTTAATGTCACCTTGGGCAAAAATTCTATATAAAAGTATTTCAGGTTTTTGATTAACTTTTTTCTGGAAAATCCTAGAGATAAGAATAAATAATAAGTACATCCCAAAACATCTATTAGATATTTAAATACTTCAAAATGGGGAAAATTCGTAAATGGAACAGGAATTAAAAATTAATTTTTTCGTTATTAGAAAAATCATGCAAAATCAATATAAATTCTTACAAGACCAAAGCTTAAAGGTGGACTGGAGTAAATGCATTTTTAGAAATTTTATTTTATTAATTACTTTTTGAAAAAATTTTTATATGAACTATTTATATTACAAAGCCTCCGCAATGGTTATTCGTATGCTATTTTTCGAAAACTTTATTTTATTTGAATTAAAAATTTATTTAAGAAGTATTAATTAAAAAAGTAAATTTTCTGAAAATCCATTTAGTTAATATTTTCATTCTATTCATAATTTTCAAACTTTAACCATTTTAATGTGGAAAAACGGTTTTCTTTATTTTAGTTTTAGTGAAATTTTCATTGCAAATATCTTTGACATTTACATCAAACTTGAGGATACGTTCAACTTTAATTGCAAGTTGACAGAAATGATGTGATCATGGACGTGAACTTAAAAATAAAAAATCTACCCCAACAATCGACACAAAGACACAAAATCATAAATTTATAACTTTTATCGATTTTTCAAGCATTTTTTCATTAAACTAAATATTATATCGATCAACTTTCGGTTAAGATAGAGATCTGGGTGGTTGTTCCTAAAAGAATAGGAAAATTTTATGAAAGATTTAACATGAATTGTGAGAAACTTAAATTTTTTAAGAAATTTACCTTTATTAAAACACGATTATTATAATTTTTAATGTTATAATATTTAATGGGATATTATGGTTTGGATTTTTTATTTTAACATTTATAATTTCATAAGTTGTAGATAGTAGAAAATTGTTGTAATTTTTAAAGTTTTTTTGTCAGCCATTTTTAACTGCGAACAGCGCTTGGTGGATATTTCAATTCTCCTTGAAGCGCCAAAGCCATCTATAGTATACAATTGTGAACGATAAATTGATGTGTGTACGGTCCTGAAATATAAAGGTCAATGACGCAAGCACTGCTGTCATTCTCGGTTAATATTATTTTTAGTGATCGTTTTTCATTTTGTCGTAAAGAACCGAATCGAATAAAATAATTATTCATAATAATTCGTAATTAAGCGGTAAGGAAGTATTGTAAGAATAAAACTAGATTTAAAAATTAACAAAAAAAAAATCCACATATATCTATAAGCAGTGGAGAAACAAAAAAAACTGTATGGCATGTAGTTGCCGCATCACTTCCGGCCATTTCCCACTTCAGCCCATTTTTTATTCATGTTGCTCACTTCATGTTGATCACTGTTAACTCTGATTGGTTTATCTTTCTAGTTTTTGAGTTATTTTAATATACTGTCCTTTTACACACCATTCTCTAAGTTTGCAGAGAATGAAAATGTCGACAAATTGGTGGGGTTCACTGTGCCACTAGTGACTTTCGCCAACCGTTTGTCCATAATTTCAACCGATAACTTAGTAATACAGGAGTGTAATCAACATTATTTAGCTTCTGTTAAAATATCTGATGTTAAATTAAATAATTGTAAAGTCAAATGTAATTATAATTGGTGTTGTGGTTATTTTATATTAATTACAATATTGATAAATTCATGACAATGTTTGGTACCTTCTAGTGCTCTCTCGTGGATAATGAAATACTCTTAATCACGGCATTGACAAATTCAACAGACCAACAAGATTTATCAATAAATTTAGTAAACGACATTAAAACGTATATCAGAGTGTGCTTGCGTTTAGATAAGAGAGAAATAAAGAGAAAAAAATAAATCGACCGAAAACGACGGCCAGTGAAGAAAAGAAAAGAGTATATACGGGTGTGTTTTCCTATTTAGACTAAAATACAAGAGAAAGCATGGCGATGCTCGGTGGTGTGCTGGGCAAGAGCGAATTTATTGTTGGTGGAAAATACAGACTTATGAGAAAAATTGGATCTGGTTCATTTGGTGACATTTATCTTGGCATCAACATTTCAAATGGCGAGGTGAGAATACCGTTCAGTTTTATTTTATTCTTTGTTTCCCTCTTCGTATAAGTATCTTTTTTTTTTTTTTTTTTTTTTTTTTTTTTATTTATTTATTTATTTCGATTGTTAATATGTACATCAAAATTTATTTTTAAGTATATGCATTCATATATTTTCATATACATACAGATCCATGTATGTATTATATATATCTTTCAAAATGAAATAAGAATAATATTTTTATACCATCTGTCTTTCTTTTGTTTTACGGCAGGAAGTCGCTGTCAAACTAGAAAATGTGCGAGCACGTCACCCACAATTGCTTTATGAATCAAAATTATATAAAATATTACATGGAGGCATCGGTATTCCACATATACGCTGGTAATTACATGCCTGTATATATATATACATATGATCTGATAAATTTTTAGGAAAATAATAAATCTTAATTGAAACTTATTATATTGTTAATTTCAAAATGTAGGTATGGACAAGAACGTGATTGGAATGTTTTGGTAATGGATCTACTTGGTCCTTCACTTGAAGATCTTTTCACATTCTGTTCACGAAGGTTTACAATTAAAACGGTGCTTATGTTGGCTGATCAAATGATTGGTAGAATTGAATTTGTTCACTGTAAACACTTTATTCACAGAGATATCAAGCCAGACAATTTTTTAATGGGTATTGGTCGTCATTGCAATAAAGTATGTTATCAAATAATTAATAACTCTTTGCTTAGATTATTTTTTAACGATTGGAGTAATGAAGAAAAATTTTATTTTTTTTTATTTTAGTTATTCATTATTGATTTTGGGTTAGCGAAAAAATACCGAGATACTCGTACAAGGTGTCATATATTATATCGGGAAGATAAAAATTTAACTGGTACTGCGAGGTACGCATCAATAAATGCGCATGTTGGTATCGAGCAAAGTCGGCGTGATGACATGGAATCACTGGGATACGTTCTCATGTATTTCAATAGAGGTTCGCTTCCTTGGCAAGGTTTGAAAGCAGCAACAAAAAAACAAAAATACGAAAAAATAAGTGAAAAAAAAATGTCCACTCCTGTTGAAGTTTTGTGCAAAGTAATTGTTGTTTTTTTTTTCTTTTTTGTTAATCATATTAATATTGTTCATATTAAAATAATAATATTTCTCAGGGCTTCCCAGCAGAATTTGCAATGTATATAAACTACACCAAGGGACTAAGATTTGATGAAAGCCCTGACTACATGTATCTCCGGCAGCTCTTCCGAATTCTCTTCCGTACTTTAAATCATCAGTACGATTACACTTTTGATTGGACAATGCTGAAACAGAAAGCAGGAATCGCCCTCCCAGGAGCAGTATCTGGAGTTACTGGTACAGCTGTTCCTGGACCACAAGGCCAAGGTCAGCAGACAACCGCTCTAGCCAACGCACAGACAAGCACACAGAGGAATCCAGAGACGTTCGATGTTCTCTAGATTATGCGTTTTCTATTTTTATTCTTTTTTTCGCTTTCTCTTTTCTGATATCTTTTCTTCTATCGAGTCATTTTGTTTTACAATATCGTTAAAAGCCCTGACGGACCATTTTTCATTTTTTGCTTTACTGTTTAATTACTAAATTTATTTTAGTCATTATTATGCCTAAATTTGTGAATATTTCATCTATGACATTATTTAAAATTAATTCTTTTTATTTCTGTGGTACAGGCGATCTACCAGTAAATTTATAGTGATAATAACAAAAAAAAAAAAATTTTTTAACTAATCTTCAATTGAAATTAGTAATTATGCATACGAAATTATGCTGCACTTTAAAACATAATTCACTGAATTTGCCGTAATGTAACACAATTGTTTGAAAAGTTATCATGGAGCAAGGTCAAAAACAGAATTTTAACTTGATTAAACTCAAAATTAGAAGACAAAAATGGTATCAGAAGAATAACGCGACATGCCATGATTGACTCAACTACAAAGCTGTTGATTTTTTTTATTAAAAATAATACATAAGGCTGAATAAAAACAAAAAATAAAGAAAATCAATCCAGCAATATAGTGTTTTCTTAAATAAAAAATAATCACAGCCTTTATATTTGTCGTGATATTGTTAAATCAGTTAGTAGTAATTATTGAATTGAAAACAAACAAAAAAAGTAAACGATTAAGTGGAAATTATAACTATTCTATGGCTCTTTCTAAATGAATTCTTACATTGACCCTTAACTCATATCCGATGAGTTTAATTATATATTTTAGTGGAAAAAAAAAAACTTTAATAATTATATCAAAAATGAAATCAATTCTTTTCTGTCTCTCTTTTACAAATACAATTTTGACTTTAATACCCTACTACTCTGGATTCATTATTTTAAGCTGGCAGTCATTGAAACAATTTTATAATATCTTATAATTAATTATTTAATGAATTTTTTTATTTATTTTTTATTGTTATTAATGTGATTTGTTATATTATAATACTATTTAGATAATTATAGATATTTTATAATTCGCTCAATGACTGAAACCAGAAAAAAATGCTGGTGTTTAAAAGTAAACGTATTCTGATTGATCAATCGTAATAATCCTTTGTGATTGGGACATCTATTCGAATCTGTTACAGGAGCGCCTTAAAACACTAACTCCGTGATAGCACCAAACCCGAAAGCGATCACTGTGGTATCTCAATCATGATACATAACCCAATTAACCCAACGAACAACCGTGCGAGCCCGAGTCTCAAGTGCGAGCGACTCATTAAGATTTGAGAAGATCATTCAAGGACGATTTAGAGATAATGCTAAATAAGTAAATAAACGAATTCAATAAACCTTTAGGTTTGTTTAATTCTAAAAATCAATGGAAAACGGATAGATATAAGGTTTATCAATTAAATAATAATTATTAAAAAAGTTGTAAGACTTCACTGATATTATTTTATTCTTACACGAATACTATATATATATATTATATATGTATATATATTGGTTAGTCTATGCCAAATTAAAATTTATGAAAATTTCATTTTATAATTATACTGGAATTTTTTACATTACAATACCTACGGAAATGAAAAATTGTTTCTTAGCTTTTCAAAGTTTTTCATTTAAGTATTAGAAATATGTAAAATTTGTCAAATAAAAACGAATGTAAAATAAATTTTTTTTTTCTTCTTTGTATAATAAATGTTTATTATTTTCAAAATTTTAAAGCTTAATCTGATTAAATATTTTCAAAGTTATCATTAGTCATTGTTATTTTTAATTTATCGATATACTTACTTTATTTAGTATTTATAGCAAAGAATAGTTGTATAAAATTTTCTTAATTGTAAGTGAAACTTCTAAAGCCTTCTCAGCCAATTGAAACGATGATAAGCCGATTGGACGGAATTAGTTAGTTACTTTTTCACTAAGAATAGCTTCTTTCATTGCAATCAGAGCTCCATAGACTAATTTCAATTGATTTCTAACTATTAAAGCACAAAGCTTCAAAGATGATGAATTTTCAGAAATACAATTTTAGGATAATATGGAACTTACTAAACATAATTAAAGAATGGATTGATTTAATTGGTATACTAAATTGAAATTTCCAGGACAAAAAACGTAGTATTATTTTTATTGGAAAAAAAAAAATTAGTGGTATTATTTTTCCAGATACCAATATATAAAAAAAAAAAAATTGTTCAATGATTAGTTTGACAAACAAAATCCAAAAGTTTTTGACTATTATTATCGACAAAAAGAGAAAATCACAGTTCGATTTTCCTAAAGCATTTAATTTGGCATAGATTATTTCATATATTTATAATTTTTCCTTATCTCTTTATATCATTTTGTTTTTTCTTAAAGTTCTTGTTTCTCGTCTCACCGTTACATTTGTCAAACTATATACATATTTTCTTTTCTTTCTTTTTTTTTTTTTGTATTTATAAGCTTACAAACTAATATGACTTAAAGTTTTCAACTCATACTTTCATTCATTTCATTATTTATCAATTTAAACTAAAGATTTTATAATAACATAAAATGTTTAAATACAATAAAAATGTTTTCTTTTTTTGAAAATATAAGTAATTATACTCCTTTTTCACAAGATAGTCATTAATTACAAATAACAATTGCTTGTGCATACGTATTATCAATGTATGATAAGGCAACCTATGTACATACTACAATGTTTTTTTATTTTTCTTGTAAATTATTGAAAAATTTTGATATCAAAGAAAAACAAAAAAAAATTAGTTAAAGGTATTTTTTTATTTCTTAACTGTTTTACTTTATCTGTTACACATTCTGCATTTTTAATTAGAACTTGAGGATAATTTTATAATTTTCATGGTGAATAAGATGCACAATCATTCTTATACTTGTCATTTATCATAAAATGCTAATTTTCTCAATTTTAAAAAATTAAATAATTTTACATCCAAAAAAATTGAGAGCAAAAAAATTTCCAAATTTTATAGTGATTTTTGAGAAACTACTATTCTCTGAAGAAGAGTCGTGTTGCAAAATAAAAAAAAATTATTTTGGAGCTTAAAATATTTAGTTGGCGAATCTTAGGATAAAAATTTATATTGAAATCGCTCGGAGTAATCAAACGAACGAAATAACGAAAAAAAATTCCAAAACCATATCTTTTTTTTAACACCGCTCTCGGACTCAAAAACAAATTTCTGAGCTTTAAAGTAGAATCATTTAATCTGGTACATAATATAGTTTCAATTTAGTATTTTTTTATGTGCAATTTATTTATATTATCGTTTGTGAATTGAGAAATCGTCTTTATTTTATTGTCGATATTTCTTGAACTATTAATCGCACAGTAAACGGAATGGAAAGTGGGTTTTGAAAACATAAATTCATCCTCTTTAAAAATACTCAGTATTTTAGAGTGAAACTTTTTTTTTGTTCAACTATGATTCGAACAAGTACAAAAAAGTTATTTTTTTGCTGTTTAGGAAAATCCAGTCTAACTTTCTTCTCGGATAATTATAAATTTTTTTAATTCTGGAAATTTTTGCGTTTGTGCGTGTGCAATTTTAAACTAATGTGTTGATCAATTTCAAAATTTAATCATGTGAATTCCGCAAATTGTACCTAGATTAGTTGAATTGATCAAAATATTGGAGTTTAAAAATTTTTAGAATATAATTTTTCAAAATAACTTTCAAAAAATTTTCTCAAAAACCTGCGTCAAATTTATCATCAAACGAGATAAAAATCGAACGATTCTCTCAAAAGATATCGCTATTCAAAAACTTTTAAATAAGTTTTTTTTTTTTTAAATTACTTCCGAATTTCCTCAAAATTTTTCATTCTTGAGAACTCTTAAATCTATTCACCCTATAGTATTCTATAGTATTCATTTATTACTATTAGAGCTAGAGAGTCTTTTATTAATTCTTTCAAGTTCAACCGACTTCTTGAACAATAAAAATAGAACAATTTGACCTACAATTCGACTTTGACTCGGATGTACTTTACATTGAACTTGCTATGAGGACTTTCGAAAAATGATATATTCACTACCCATCTTGTTATTAAGAGCGAGATGTTTTAAACACAAAGAAATTATAGTAATTTTAATAAAAAAATTCAAGATTAAATTTTATTTAAATATATTCCAGACAAAGAACAAATAAACTCTCAAAAATCAATATTTTCCTTGGTCAACATTTAATATTGACTTAGACACGAAAAAATTTTCTCATATAACTTGTTTCTTTACTATTCGTTCTAACTCAAGTCACGTATTTTGTTGTGAATTTAATCCTGAGGGACCATTGGTGGTTTGAATTAATTTAATTTCAATAAATGAGTTTTCAATAAAAAAAATCTCTTGCAATAAAAAGATAGGTTTATTGTTTTACTGCAAAAGTTAAATAAAAAAAATCTGTTGTATAAAAATTGTAAAAAAAAAAAAATTAAAGCCTCAATACAATTCTATACACACAAAATTATCAAAGATATTATTCAAACTCCGTATAAAAAAAAAGCACATGCTGTTAACTTCGCAATGTGTTCATTAATTAAAGTGCATATTTGTATATATTAAGGCATTTTAGAACAATGGAAACACATACCATACAGCAAAAATACGTACTTCAAGCAACCAGAGCAAGAAGTCGTATATACCACAAACGATATAGTGAAAATTCAAATTCTATTTATTATAAGGAAATTTTAATTAAGATGATTTCTTAACTGAATATCTGACAATGATAACTTTACAGTATTAAATATTAAGTTAGTAAAATAGCAAAATATAATTTACAATAAGTATATCCATTTGTATAAAGAAAAAAATTCAACAAAATTAAGAAAAAAAAAAAAAGAATTTTTTCTATAAATTTCAAACACAGACGAATTATTATATCTATTTAATAAATAATAATAAAACTTAGATCAAGTTATATACTTAATGTTGTCTCCGTGAATTTATAATTGTTATTTTTAATAACATAAAAGTGAATGTACTTTTCGTAACTCTTGAGTACCGATTTTGATACTATGGACTTGACTTGGTCCGGAACAAGGCATGTTAATTTGTGCTGCTAGTATACCATTTACTTCTTGCATTGCTGAAACCATTTTGCGGCTAGGAAATACTGAAAAGTTTGTTGACACTCTTGCGCCTATTGCCTTCTTGACACTTGTTTGATAAACTTCATTCTGAAAATTATATACACATGATATAAATGCTCTAGCTATTCTTTGCATGGGTTGTAATAACTTTTTTATCTTAGTTTTTTGATCAGATCAACTTACCGTTAGATTTTCTACTCTATTGTTTAAATTTTTTAGGAGTAATTTCCGCTTAATAAATTCATATGCAGGAGTTGTTTTTTCAAATGTAACATTTTCTATGTCAAGTTGGGAGTTCTTAGTCAAATCCGGAATTGCGTTGTATATCATAACATTATGTATGTCCTAGAATCAATTTTATCAAATGAATGATTAGAAAAAAAAATAAAAAATGCATTTATAGACTGTTTTCGGAAGACTCAATAAAGAAATAAAATTAATATTACCTTGAGCAACTCAATTCGTTTTTCCTGTAATGATTCAATATTAGAATCTGGCTGGTCATGTAGAAGTGATGTAGAAATGGGATTCAAGTTATTCATTTTCTTTTTAAGAGACTCTGCTACGAGTTTATTTTTCAGTCGATTTTCGCTTGCGAGTGCTTCTTTTAAAGCTGAAATTTCTTGTACTAATAGTCTATTATCAAAGGCAATAGGAGCTCCTGACATAATATTAGTTTCGTTACCCCCAGACAATGTAAGATTATTATCTGATCTGTTTCCAGGCGAAGGAATTCCAATAACAGGAGTTGTGACTTTTTTGCCTAAAGATTTCAACTTTTCTTTTAATTGACCTCTTTCTGATTCAAGACTATCAATGTCTGTCTGTAAATGATCCATCGTTTCTTCAAACTCTTTTTCTTTCCGTTTTAATTGATTAATTGCTTCTTCTAATTTTCGTTTTAATTTTTCAACAGTAAGCTCATGATCGTGCTGTTGAGTTGCAAGGCGTTTTTCGGCCAATTCCTTTCTCAACATCATCTCTGAAAGTTCTTCTTGTTTCTCTCGGAGGGCCAGTTTTACTTCTCGTATGTCAACATCTTTCGTTTCCAATTTTCTACAAATAAATTCATCAAGATTAAATATAATTATAGTTATAATAACTCAATTATCTTTTATTTATGATTCATCTTAAAAGTTTTAATAATAAATTTATTTTACCTGGCCAGATTTTTCGTCTCTTCAAATTCTTTTCGAGTAGTTTGAGCTCGTATACTAATCGGAGTTTGATTTTCTACACTTCCATCTGTTAATGCTGATTGGTTAACTGGTGCTTGCTTAACTGTAATTATTTCATTTTCACATTCGACCATTTTTTGGGCTAAGTCTGCTGCCATTTGCTGCACGGTAACTAAACTTGCTTTTAATGTTGAAATTGGTCCTAAATCATCAGTATCATAGATTTTTTCACTAGATATTGCAGCCATTTCTTTCAATTTAGATGCATTTATACCAACGTCCAAATCTAAAAAAAATTTGAAAATTATAAATGTACAACTTCTATGTAGTATTGTGTACTTAAAAATCAGTAAAACTTTTTAAACATACCTCCGTTAGTAATAATCGTTTGAATTGCGTTCTTTAATAAGTCTTGAAGTGTTTTGGCTACTTTAACAGCATTTTGATAACAATTAACAAACTGTTGAAGCCAATCTTTATCTAGCCCTAAATTAATGGAAGAATTTGTTCCATTGTTGGATATTTGATCACGAGGAACTCGTCTTCTTGCTGAACTTAAATGTTGTTGAATCACTTCACAAGTTGTTTCAATATGTTGACACAAAAGATCTGAAATATTTTTGTGAAAATAACAATAAAATATATGATAATCGTGAAAAAACAAAAATTAACGGAAAAAAAATTACCAATATCACCACTATCTCCATCCAAAAGTGTTTTAATAGAACTTGCTTCAACGGTTAAAGCCTCACAAAGATTTCCAAGTGTTTTCGTTCCATTAAGAATCATTTTTGGCTGATTAGCCATTGAACTATCTTCAAATAGAACAGAAAACATCGTTCCGAAATAAACACAACATTTTTCTATAGCTTCTGTTGAAACATTTTCATCTAATTGATCTTTTTTCGCAAGATAAATTAGAGAATCTACAGCCTTTTCTTGAGCCAACATTTCCGGATACGCTGCTCCTACTTTCAACAGTATTTCTGGTGAACATACATTGAGAATTGATTCAAAAGCTCCAAGCACAGTTTGCAAAGAATAAATATGACCACACAAGCATGATCTGAATATGTATTGAGCAACCAAGTGACCTTTCACTATTGATGATCTAGAAACGAACCAAATTATTAATTTTAATAATTATTATTTAAAAAAAAAATATTTTTTTTGAAATATATAAAAATGAATTTAAAATCTTAATGAAATTTTATAAATAAATATTGTTTTTACCTTTCAATACTATCGACAGCTTGATATTTATCCCTCATTTGAGAAATCAATATTTCAGTTTTTTGAATCATTCTAGAAATAAGGAGAAGTGTCATAATTGCATCATGATCACCTCCTCGAGTTAGAAAAGCCGGTGGCATGAATAGAAGTAAATATTTAACATGAGTACGAGCTTCTTCAATATCCAACCGGCGTAATTCAAGATCAACTGCTTTGGTTTGTGCACGAGTTTCTGCAAATGTCTTCTGAAAGTCTAAAATTTCCGCAAGCTGTTGATCAGTACCTAAATTCAAAACTATTTTTTAGAAACTTATTGATCCTTGTTAAAAAGAAATAATTAATAATTTTATAGAAAATAACCTCTAGCGCCCGAATATACAGATTCAGTTGATTGCATGCGATTCTGTAATTGTAAATATTGTTCTTGTAAACGATTAGTAAGTTCTCTAAATTTAGCGATTGTTAATTCACGATCCGCTAAAGTTTCTAAGGCAGCGTCACGATGACGTTGTGCATCTCGAGCGGAACCTAATGCCAAGTCCAATTCTTCTCGAAGTTCAAGCTCTATTTCTTTTGAAGACTCGGCTAGTTGGTCAGACATGTCCTACAATAAAATTAAAATTAATAACGAAAAATTGTTTACTTTGTAAAATCATTATCCTTTTATATTACTTGAAGAGCTTCTAAATCTGCAACTGCTTCTTCTAGTTCGTTTACTCGCTCTTCGAGAACCATTTTCTTTTCACCGAGCATTTCAACCATTTCTTCTGCACCTAATGCTGCATCAACCTATTTTTTTAAAAAAAATATATCACTATCAATAGACAGAAAAGTAAAGATTACTTTCTTTAGGTCTTAGAAAGTTAGAACTTAGAGTTGATTATTTTAAAATTTGCAATAATAACAAGCTAGGGTATAGAAGCGTAATTTTTATAGCATTTACAAGGACAAAAAATTTACATTAAAATTACACATTGTAGAATTAATATAATTTACCTGCTCTTGTAGATCAGCTATTTGATGCTCCATTTCTTCAACTCTAGCAGATAACTTTTCTTTAGTTCTTCCTAATTCCAAAATTTCTGATTTTTTCTGATCAAGATCTTTTTGAATTTTTTGAAACTCATGTTTTTCATGTGCCGACAAATCTCTCATTTTCACCAAGGTTTCTTTAAGTCGTATATTTTGTTGTTCTAGCTGTTTCATTTCATAAGATGAAATTCCCTTTCCACTAGATGCACTGCTTCCACTAATCTAAAATTAAAATCAAATATAAAAATTTTATCCATCATAACTTTTTCAAGTAAAAAAAATAATATAAAGTTATATTAAATAAAGTAAATTACCTGCTCAGACATTTCACTACGTAAAATTTCCAAATCAAGTGTTTTTTCCTCTAATTTTTCTTTCAATTGTTCTAATTCAATTTGTAGGGTTTCGGCCTTTTCTTCGGCCATTTCTTTATCTAAAGTAGCCATTTCAACAGTTTCAGCAAGATCAGCCATTTCATCTTGAAAAGTGCTTTTTGCTAGCTGCGTCTCGCGTAACTCCTGCCGAGTCCGCTGAAGTTCTCTTTGAAGACTTGTCTAAGGAATATTAAATCAAATTTTTTGTTCGCGAATTCGACAAATTTATAACTAAACTTACCTGACTTTCCATCACTTTAGATTTAAATTCTAAAAGTTGCTCTACTTGAAGTTTAGTTTTTTCAAACTCTTTCATCTTTTCTTTATCTTGCATTCGTTTAAGTCGTAATGTTTCAACCTTTTCATTAAGATCATTTACCTAAATCACAACAATAAAAATTACTTGATCTATCAAATGAGCTAATAAATTTGGTGACAGCTCTATAATTCTTACCTGAGCTTTCAAGTTATCATTTTCTTGAACTAATTGTAAATGACTGAGTTTTTCTTCTACAGTATTTGATCCAGAACTAGATGCTCCTAAAGTTGAAGATATCGAGCCAGCCATTACTTGTCCAGGTACAAAATTTGGTTTTAATGTTTCCACAAAACCAGTCTAAATTTAAATAAAAAACAAATACAATTATAATTATTGTTCGTCAACTATAAGATATTTCTTTGATTACTCTCTTTTTTCTCAAAATATTTAAGGGATGTAATGAAAGAAACACTTTATTACAATGTATAAAGAAGCATAAAAAATAAATACAGAAACTTCACTGAAAAAAATAAATTCAATTATTAATGAATATTAATATATAACATTAAGTTATAGTCAAATAAAAATAAAAATAATAATAAAAATGACGATGATGATGATGATGATGATGATGATGATGATGATGATAATATCATTAACAATAATAATGACATGTCAGTTAAACGGGTGGGTTCAAACGAGTTTATATGTTTGTTGAATGATGCTCATAATATTTCGAATAAATGGTCTAGTTCAACGAAATCAATAATAAAAAGTAAAGTACGAGTTTAAATATTACTATAATAATTAATTACATTATTGCGATCATCTTCAGCCTTTAACTTTTTGCCAGGAGACAATCTCTTGCTAGGGGATTTCTGAAACACGTATGTGTATTTCTAAATCAATCCCATATTTTATTTATTCAATGACATATTATTTATCATCATATGGTTTTAGTTGATATCTCAATAACACTTTTCCGATAAAAGGATTAGTACGTCAGGTCACTGTCTAAGTTATAACGGAAAACAGTCAAATTAAAGAGATAAATATAATATTTATACCTCAACAAAAGAGGCACGTTTAATTGTAGTAGGAACAGGAATTCCAGATTCATTGGTGTCTTTGCGTTCATGTTGTGAAGCTGAAGAAGTTTCCGGGCTTGGGTAACTCAATTGTGTCCGGCTGCCAGTTAATGACACACGAGAACTGTAAACGCAAATAACAAGAATTACTTACATTTATAAGTTACTGAACTAATGTGCTAAATATAGTGAAAATTGAACGAATGTCATTAAGAAGCAAAATTATTATTGAAATAACTTCATAAAAAAAAAAAAATAATAAATGAAATGATTTATAATTCTTAAAAATTCTTGTCAGACAATAATGAAGATGAAGTTCCAACCAGCTATTTGAATATTGATACATAGATATAATCCAATCTGATTATAAACAACATTGGATGTTTTTCTCATTTTCACCGTAACTATGTCTATAAATGAAATATTTATTAAAAGTAGAAGTGAATAAGAAATTTTGCTTACAACCAAATTGTGTACATAAAAAAGACAGGATGTTTAAATTCGTTTATAAAGCTGAAAATAATATTTTTCCCACTTTAAAAGAACTTTTACAATTATTCCGTCAAGTTGAGCGACAACCATCACTTTTTTCTGCTTGTTAATTTTTGAAGTATCAAGAAAATAATTGGGTAAATATTTACAAGTGGGGTCAACCATTTTAATTTTCATTTTTTTGTATGAAATTTCTATTTGATTTAATTGATAATTTTTTTTTAAATACATAAAAAAATGAACAATTAAAAAAAAAAAAAGTTAATTATCACAATTTGAACAAATTTTCAAACAAATTTATTAATTTTTTTCGAAAATTGTGATATTCAACTTTTTTTTTTTTTTTAATTGCTCGTTTTTTTATGTACTTTTCAAAAAAAAAGTATCAAAAATAGATAAAATAGAAATTTTATACAAAAACATGAGAGCCCAAATTTTTTCTAACTTTTGAAGGCAAAAAAGCTATCGAAATCTTTATTTTTTTCTTTCACGACATTTTTTATCATAAATCCGCCGTAAAAACAAGTAGAATAAAAAAAAATTTGAAAATTTTAATTTTTCACCTAGTTCTGGCCCAAAATAGGGTTGACCCCACTTGTAAATAATTACCAATAATTGTATTGTAAACAATCCTCGAGTATTGGAGGTAAAACTTGAAAGATTTTGGAAAATCAACCGTAGTTACATATCAATACCATGACGTAATGTTAACGCAGTTGCATGGTAGTTTGTGAAAATTGGACATCCTATACTACCAGTGATAGTTCTATCTTCATTTACATCTTCAAGGATGTCTACAAAAGATTTTTCATTCATCTGAGTAAATAAAAAAATCTCACGGCAGATTTGAACTTATGATTATTGACGATGTTGAATTTTATCTCACAATAAGAAGCGTGCGTGCTCTGCTCAATTTGCTTAACCAAATTATAGAAATATCTTAAATTTTTTATAAAGGAAAATTCTATCACTTTATTGGCCAAATCACTTGATCATCATCATTGATTATCAAACCAATTGTTGAAAAGCAATAAAAATCAATTGCCATGGTGATGTTTATACAATAATTAGCTGCAAATTTGCTTTTAAGAATTATATAAACAAATAATGTGCCGATAAATTATTAAGCTTGTTTGTTCATTAAAAAAAGTGGAATTTTTTCCGCCAAAGATATTATAAAAAATGAATAACAAACCAAGTTCAATATATGTCTTTGTTTCAAAATAAATTCAGCAACTTACACGGTTGATTCATTTCTTCTACGTATACTTGTGCTAGCATGAAATATTATCATTGCACATAATTATTGTCAAAATAAATTATATATTTAATTTCTGAAATTTAATTTATGCACCTTGTAAGTCGACTACGAGCTCTCGCAGCACCTGCTTCATCTGGAGTTGAAATACTGGAAGTATTTAGAGAAGTATCTACTTTATTTCCTGCATCATCAAGAATGATCAACTGACTTTGGCGGACGAACATTCCATAATTTTCTGAACACTATGGTAAAAATAAAAATGAAACATTATTTAAAAACTACTTGCGTTTAATTATTTTTTAATATTTAATTCAATTTGTTAATATAAACGAACCTTAAAATACGATTGACCTTTAACTGTGCCATTATTTTTTCCTTTTGGCTCATCTAATATCACTCCAATCCATTTTCCACTTGCAAAAGACGGATGCCCGATGTAGGCAATTGTACCTTGACAATCCTTTCCGGCTATTTCAACTCTAGCTCCAATTTTGCATGACATTATTAAATTTAAAAATTTTTTTCCAGTTTAAATTCACATCAGTTTAGTCAGCCTCAATTTCAATCCTGTCAAAATATGTACATAAATAGTTAATAGCGTATGTGTACATATGTATATATGTCATAACACAAAAATGTGTAAGTTTTTTATTAAATGTAGTGGGAGAAATGAAGAAATGAAGCTGGTGAAATGAACAACCTGAAGGAAGCTATAAATGCTCTAAGTTTATGTACCGTATAAAGTTGCTTACAGGTGTCACTACCTGAACGTTAAGCGGTTGTTTTTAAATTTGCGACAAGTTTCGAAATTGCATATATAAATTGAAATACTACCTTTATATCGCATTAAGGGCCAGTTTTTCAATCCGAGATAAAATTTTATCCAGGATGAAATTATTATTGTCAGTAGTATATTTATATATATGAAATATATAGATATATTTTATCATTGGATAAAATTTTATTCTGGATTGAAAAACTGGCCCTAAATCTGGACCGCTGTAGAGATAACAGAGTGGACAATCTATCTAATATGTGTAACATAGCCGTGTGTGTTTTTAATTAAAAAATCAAAAAATAGACAAGTTATAAGTATGGAGTGTAATACCCTCTGTTACAAACGTGAAAATCTCCATAGCTGTAAGGCTATGAAGGTATGAAACATTATTGACAGTTGTACTGTCATTAATCTCTATATTTATTTAAAAATTTTCAGGTTAAAATTGTTACTATAACATGATGAGTAAATATTTATAGATCTAATTTCATGAAATAACTCAACTGGATAACAATTTATAATAACATGTATCATAAATAATATTTTAAAAATGACTTACCGGAATCATTGGAAGAAAAATCTTTTTAGATATTTATTGTTCAGTGTTTTTGTTGTATTCATTTTTACTTGTATCTTAAATATTTTGCCATTAACTCCAGGTATTATACAAAAAAAAATATTCAAATGATAACTTTAAGATAAATGATCTAATATAATTCTAATTAACTGGTAATTGTATTTCAGATTCCTGCAATTGCCATGAAAAAGTTAGTCGTTTCAAAAAAGCATCTGAAAATGGAGTGAAACAATTTAAAATATCGCAATACAAGCTTGCTGTTTTAGTACCATTTCGAGATCGTTTCGAGGAATTGTTACAGTTTGCTCCGCACATGAAACAATTTTTAGATAAACAAAATATTGAATATCATATATTCATACTACACCAAGTAAACAAAATTTTTAAGAAAAAATAAATAAATGTAAATTATTAAATAACATAAAACATTACATTATTTTCAGGTGGATAGATTTAGATTTAACAGAGCATCTCTTATTAACGTCGGTTTTATTCATGTCCAAAATCACTACGATTATATTGCTATGCATGATATAGATTTATTACCTTTAAATGAAAATCTCTCTTATGGATTTCCTAACAACGGACCTTTTCACGTATCATCTCCAGATCTACATCCACGATATCATTATCCAACTTTTATCGGGGGAATTTTACTTGTTAATAGGTTTGTAGTCAATAGCTTATACAAAATTTTTAGTGAAATGTAAATTTCATTTTTTTTTAATTTAACTTTATTCATACATTTACTTGCTGTATAAAAAATTGCACTCTTTTATTTATTTTAAAAAATAAAAATGAAATTTTTCTTACCGTACTCATACAATCAAGAACACTTTCAAAACTATTATTTTTTTTTTTTATAAATTACTAATTCAGAAATGAAATGTTTTTTAAATACATGTTAAAATCAATTTAATCTTTTCAAGTCCTAGTAAATTTTTTTAAATTAATATTTTATTATATTTGTATAAAAATCAAAACAGGTTTTTGCATGAGTTCAAAATTCTAATTTTATTTTTTAGGAAACACTATCAAGCAGTTAATGGAATGTCTAATAAATATTGGGGTTGGGGCTTAGAAGATGATGAATTTTACGTTAGACTAAAGGAAGCTAATTTAAAAGTATATAGGCCAGAAAATATATTAACTGGATCTCAGAATACTTTCAAGTAAGAATCCGTATAAAGATATAAAATGAAATTTTTTGATCTACATAAGTGAGTTAATATTTGTTTTCTCTTCATTAAAGAAGATGATGGAAAAAATGAAGAGTGTAAATAACTAGCGTAAACTTTCCATTATGTTATGTTTTTTCACTTGTGTAGAGCAAAAGCTAAATTAAAAATATGTATGATAATAACGTTTTCTTTATTTTGCAGACACATTCATGACAAAAATGTTCGAAAAAGAGATACAATTAAATGTTTTAATCAGCGAGAAATTACTAGAAAGCGAGATCGCCAAACAGGCTTAAGTAATGTATCATACAAAATAGAACAAGTCATAAATATGACGATTATTGATGTACCTTTAACTATTTTGAATATCGCTTTGAATTGTGATAAAACGATCACACCTTGGTGTGAATGTACAAAAACTAATGAGAACAAAACTCCATAGTCTAAGACTTTATAAATACTCAGTCTTAATATTTACCTTAATTTAATATCAAGAGAAATATCATCATTAATAAAATTATTGAGATCATTCAAAATTGAATCAGTTAATCAACTATTTTCCTTCTATTCATAAATAGGTAAATAGTAAAACTACAGATATTCTCGAGATGAAGCGAATGATAAAAAGTTTTCTCGAAATTCGTAAGTTTATTCTATAGTTATAAATAATTACTAAGTATAGTTGTTCTAATCTTAGGACTAAAAAAATGGGATAATAATAATTATGTGGGAATCAATTGAATTGTGCATTTGATGAAAAATATCATACAAGTACTTAACTAATGAAGATAGTTATTATTTATATTGAATATGATTCAGGAATTATTACTGAAATATTTTTAAAAAATCTCGGTTAAAATGTAATATAAAATATAGTGACAATACACCGCCTGTATAGTCAATAAACGCACCAGTAACTGCGAATATTTCAATGACTTACTCCAATTGACTTTTACTATTAAAAGATGAGGATAAAACAATTCAATCATTAAAATTATCAATTACTAATCTCTAATTAATTCCTAAAATAAAATCATACTTCAAGTATTTTTTTTTTTTACATTTTTGTTGAATTTATTTTTGTAAAATGTGATTTCGACTAAAAAATGTTAAGTACATACATTAATTAAAATTTTTTTATTTTGACTATCAGAAATACTGCTTTTTTCAAGTATGAAAAATTATTAAGCAATAATCAAATGCACGATCACTTATTTTTTATGTTGGTCCCAGTTAATACATTTAGTTATTATTTATAAATAAAATTAAGTCAAATTGGGTAATTCAATAATGAAATTTTTAATCAACATTTATAATGTGGCTTGTTTATTTTAATTTTATTTTAGTATTTGGTCTCAAAAAATGAATCTTATACTCAAGTTTTCATGTCAAATTTTTTATAGTATACAATATTAATTTTATCATCAGGAAATAATGATAAATATTAATTAAATAGAAATTATGAAATATTCTTATTTGTTTTATGCAAAAATTATTTTCTATTTTTTTTTCTTTTTTTTTTTTTTTTTAGAGTATATTAATTGATTATACATATTTACATTGACACTTCATCAAATCAGGCTTGTTCTTAATATAACCAATGTACAAAAACATTTTGTGTAAATACTCCAAGTGCTATCTTATAGGTTTTTCGTAATAACACACAAGACACAAAAAAAATTTTTCTATTGTTTCAATCAACACGTGGTTTACTTCGTTTACGATGATGGTTGCGTGCCAAAGCATGAATTATCGTTGTAAGAAAGAAGAGGCACATTAAAATGACAAATTTGTCAAATAGCCATGAAATAGTCGTAGTACTATCCTAAGAAAATATAACAAAAAAAATTGTTAATACTAAGCCAAGGATAAATTCAATAATTGTAATCTCATACTTTCAATTGTTTTTTAAATGCAAACTACCACCAATTTAATTCATTGCGTTGAATACTTTGTTGTTAATATTTAATATGCTCAAAAAGCTTTAGATGTATGTAATACAATACTTAAATCAACATGAAATAACAGAAAATTATAGTGAATAATTCAATGAATGAAATTGGGATATTTAAAAGCTTAGAAATTATTTGGAAAGAAAGTCTATACTTATAGATATTCAGATGAATGAAAAAATAATTAAAAGTTTTATTTACCACATTAGTGCTGTTATGAAACTTGTTCTTTTGTTCAATGAGATACTGCTTTAATGGTTCTTGAAATCGTTGGCCAACATATGGTATAACAGACAATATGCTAATGGCTTTCTCGAATAACGTTTCATTAAAAGCAATAATAACTGCCAGTTGTTGTATGTGCATTTTAATAATCGCTTTACCAATAAGGGTTGCTCCAAAAAATGTCCAGAATGGAATGCGATAATATCCACACATGAAGCCAGCGAAATCAAATAGCGGGTTTGGTATCTAAAATTGAGAGTTATTGTCATAATTTACTCGAATACTATTAGATAAAAAATAGAATAAATATAAAAATAAAAAATCATACAAACATACCGAAGCACAAATAAGAATTCCGAAAAATCCAGTTTTTTGAACAAAATGTTTCATTGCTAATTTCAATCGCATTGATATCGGAACATTTCCTCCATTTTCAAGTGCTTCAAGCGCTTCTAAATCCTTGAGCTCTTCTTGATCATCATCAGCACCTTTATCTACTTGTTGACTGTCTCTTGCCGCTCTAGCCATGAAATATGGCGGTAATTCACCAAGAGCGGTACCCGCACCCCACAACATTGCTTCTACACGTACTTTTCTCATAATATTAAAAATGTTAACGGTCCATGCTTCATCTACAGTCGTAGGACATATAATTGAATCAGGGTATGGAGGCTCGGGGAAGTTTAATCCCCCACATTCATACGCAGCCATTGTTACAGCAGCTATATGAGGACCCAAGTAAAGAACGAATGTATGTAAACCTGATCCAAATCCTACACTTGATAATACACCAAGTCCAACCCAATATAACCACCATAATACAGTGTTTTCCCAATCTTGTAATACCTAAAAATTACGTTATTTAGAAAAAGTCATTCTCGGTTAAATAAAGATTTATTTGAAGAAAAACTCACTTGTTGATGACGACCTGAAGTATACCTGAGAGTGAAAAATAATACTAATAAAATTAACACACTCCACACAGTCTTTTTGTATTTAGGAATTCCTTTGACTAAATTGATACAGAGATGCATTACTTCTTGTAAAAAATAACTCATGGTTGTGAAAGGATGACGCCATAGCTTTAAACTATCAGCATCTATTGTTACTTTGTTATGGTTTATTTCAGCAGCTTTCACCTGCGAATCTGAAGCAGGATGATTTTTTTTTGTTGGCCGCTGAATACCATTGGAATGATTTGGATCTTTTTGCCGTCGTTGAGTTGCTTGTTTCATTTCTACAATATTTTCCTTTGAGCAATTTATCTGTAACATTAATTCAAATAAAATAAAATTAATTGTCTGGTTATTTTAAATTGAATGTTTTTACACTTTTCTAACAAATCACACAATCATGCATAAATTTTGACTTTAATGATAACATAAAAATATTAATAACTTTATTATCCATATCAATGATAACATGATCTTGAAGTGCATTAAGAACACAATGATTGTTGTTGGAATTAGATGTTAAAAATGCTATACGATTATGCATTTATTTAATAAATACGAGATATTAATTTACTATTTTAACAAGAAATTTAATAAAATAAAAAGATGGCATCGGCATCGTCATTATAACAGAATACAACCAGAGCATGTAAGTCGTTTGTGTCAAAGTTCAAACATGTCTCCCCCCCCCTTTTTCATTCAATCATGATAAAGCTCAATTTTATACTTAATACAGCTTGGAAGGGTACTATGAATCATTTAATCAACAGAGATTACGAAAAATAATAACAGAACAAAATCAGTGTAGGACACGAATACAAACAAGAGTTAAAAAACTTTAAAAAATTATCTTGCTTAATCCGGTCGTCAAAAATTTACAAATTTCATAACGGGAATTAAAAATATTCATAGTAGATTTTTTTACCTACTTTTATACAAAAGCTATAAGTATATTTTTGTGACATTAGTTCATTTTAAGTGACATTGATAATTCTAGTTTTAACTTCAATGCTCACGAAAAGGTGTTAAATTTTTTACTACGTCAGCTAAAAAATGTCTTACTTATTCTTTTATTGCTATAGATAAATGTATTAATCTGATAGAAAAAGTGTATTTTTTTCAAGTGAAAACCAAGGACTAAATTTTTTTAAATTAATAGATGAACTAAAAATTTTTCATGTCTAAAATTAACTTTTTAAATTTTGATAAAAAACTTCCTGAAATCTACTACTTGTCATACGACCATAGATAAATTTTTAAGAACGATAGCCTTGTTAATGGTACTGAAGCTTAATGTCTTTTGATAACGTCATTCGTTTTTGTAAGTAGATTGATCAAATAAAGCAAATCCTTTAGTAGATAATTTGATTTTTGATAACTTAAAATTACAAATTAGTTCAACAAGTTTGATTAATAGATTTTCTAAACAAATGTCTCATTAAAAAATTTGCACTCACAGTTTTTTCCAATTTCTACATGAGTTAACTGTTTAAAGGTTTTTTTTTTTTTTTATAAAAAATTATTTGTTAAGGAAAACTCAAAAAATCACTAGTTCTCAGCTGATTTTTTTTTTTCCATTACTGTTGAATATTAGATATTAATTATCAAGACAGTTGCTTATGAATATTTTTTTAACGTAGATTAAAAGTCACTGATTAAGTAACTTCCCAGAGACTCCATAATCTAATCTAATCTAATTAAATAAGGCTGCATACTGAGTTTACAAAAGACTTATTCTCAGCTAGCATCAAATCTTGCACCCCACTTAGAAAAACGTAGTCTCCAAAAATTCAATTATCACACCTTAAAATAATATTTGCAATAAAAAAATAAACACACTGACTTTAGTTCTGCCTGAAAGAAATTTTTCAATTATTAACTCTATAATGATTATGCATCAATAAAGTATAATTTAAAAGAAGTAATAAAATATTTTACTCCACCTTATTTATGTAGAATGTAACTAATTACTTAATTAGTTCATACAGTGGCACTATCTAAATAAAATTTAGTCTTTTAGGTTAAAAACACTGCATTCAAGATATAATAGCAAACAATCACAAATGATGAGTCATTGTGTCAAAAAAAAACCATCAAACGGAGTTCAATGAAATTTATTTGACCATTTAATTGGAGATAATTGACAGACAAATATCTCATAAACTTTCGGTTTTTTAAACCGATTTTTTTTTGAATGGGAAAAAATTAGAAGAAGAAAAGTTAGAAGGACTGTTAGTAATTTATTACTATGGAGATATAATCAGGTCAAGAATAAAATTATGTACTGTCTCGTACTATAGGTCATATTCTTTTGAACCTATAGGACACGAAGTTTCATGAAAACTATAGTTATGGTCTATTTTTATAAGTCTAGCCCGAAATCTATATCGGTAAAAAACATTTGGCCTTCACCATCTGGTGGTCAATTGTTTTGAATATATACTGTGATGCACCCAGTGCATCCAACAGGTGACGCTACCTGTTATTAGAGCGCTATCTATTATGAGAGCGCGAATTCAAACGAAATATTCAAACTAGTAAATATTAAATGATTAAAATTAGTTAAATTTTATATTCGAAGTAAATATTCCAGTCCTTTATTTAATGCTTTTACTCT